TGCTATTTTTAAACTGTTTAACAAGAAGAAATAAATATCTGAGAGAGGTGTGAGAGCATAAACCCCTTGTTTTAAATATCAATATATCCCCTGCAGAGCACACAGCAATTTTAGCAGTACTGGTGTGAGTAGTAAAAGGAGGCAATTATTTGATGGATTTCACCATTGTTAACCTCCTGACCATTGTGATGAGTCTACCAATAAAATAATGGTCCCAAAGATGTCCGGTTAATCAGAAGACACATTCAAGGCTTCATCCTCACCTACAATGTTAGGGCAATCAGTTAAATCTAAATAGCAAGAGTCTCTTCTATGCTAACACAATATGTGTGGTGCGATGTGGGTATAGTAAGGAAGTAGGTCGGCTTATTTATTCACACCTGCTGCTTTCCCTATATTTAAGTGAACATCACACACCAGTACTGCCAACCTCTCCGTTACATAGAGGAACTAGGAGCGTTCCAATTGGCACTTGTAGATCCAAACTCTCCCATAAATATAGCTTGGTTGCTTCATCTAAGTGCTGCTTCTAAGTGTGAGGTTGGAGATATTCTGGAGAGTTTTACAGAAGCTTCAACTGTCTTTTTTACTAAGAGTTTTCTTTTCTACTGTTACAGGTAAGATTCATCTGTAGGAAAAGGTTACTGATTGTACAAGGTTTGATTTCCTGTTGGTAATTATAAGGCATTTGATTTGATTAGTTAGCTACTTGCTATTGATTGCTGTTTAATTAGCTATTGTTTGCAAATAAGCAGAGGCCTTCCCAGGTGTTAAACATTCCTAGTGGGTGGAGATTTTAGGAGTTAAATAAGGGTTGATGTCATTAGCTTGGCTAATATAGCTTGGTTGCTTCATCTAAGTGCTGCTTCTAAGTGTGTGGTTGGAGATATTCTGGAGAGTGCTGCTTCTAAGTGTGGGGTTGGAGATATTCTGGAGAGTGCTGCTTCTAAGTGTGTGGTTGGAGATATTCTGGAGAGTGCTGCTTCTGAGTGTGTGGTTGGAGATATTCTGGAGAGAAGCTGGAGGTAATCTGAGGTATTCAGGAGGATAAATAAAAAGTTAAGATTTGTTTGATTTAAATTATTCACCTCATTGGAATGGCAGACTTAGTTCAGTGTAATAGCTGCTATGCATTTGTTTCACGTTCCACTTTTTGGAGGTTTGGTTGTTGTCAAATCTGTAGACAGTTCTCTATATTGCGGCGGGAGATTTGGGGGAATTGTATTTTTAAAGTCTGAGATTTGTAAATTATCTGGTAAACAAACTCAGGCTGGAACTGCTGCAAAGCCACTGCCGCAGAGACATACTAGGAATGTCAGATGGATTACTGTAGGATCTGGTAGACTTAGAGTTGTGGATAAAAGGCATGTTGCACAGTCTGTTGCTCTACATAATTCATTTTCAGTGTTATGGTGTTATGGAGACAGGCACTGATGGTTGTGGAGAGAGGCACTGAGGGTAGTGGTGTTGTGGAGAGATGCTCACGCACTGAGGCTAGTGGTGTTATGGAGACAGGCTCAGGCACTGAGGGTAGTGGTGTTGTGGAGACAGGCTTGGAGACTATGGTGAGGCCTAATAGAAAGCAGTTGTTGTTGGGGGATTCCATCATAAGAGGTGTGGAGATGGACAATGGTGGTCTTGTGAGGTGTCTTCCCGGAGCTACTGCTCATAGAGACAGGAGACGTATCTGTAATATTGTTAAGTGAGCAAAGCAGGAAGGGGAATTGGATGTACTTGTCCATCTAGGGACAAATGACTTGGCTTGCAATGAAGTTTCAGAGGTTAAGGAAGTTTTTTGTGTTTTTGCCAATGATATACGGCAGGTTGCTTCCACACTGTCATTCTCTGAAGTTCTGCCTGTGCATAACACTCAGAACGACAGGCAGATGCGTATTAGGGACTTTAGCTTGTGGCTTGGTGAATGGTGTTGGGAGCAAGGGTTTGGCTTTA